GAGAAAACAGTGCAACAATGAATGAATGAAAACCCAAAATCTCTGTAAATGTTCACTAAAACTAATAAAATTTAATAATAATTTTAAAAAAAGAATGTGACATCCAGACTGGAAGGAGAACTCATCAATAACCTGCATCATGCAGATGACACAACCTTGCTTGCTGAAAGTGAAGAGGATTTGAAGCACATGTTGCAGAAGATCAAGGAATGAAGCCTTCGATATGGATTGCATATCAATGGCAACAAAACAGAGATTCTTACCACTGGAATGATAGGCAGCATAGTGATGGATGGAGAGGAGACTGAAACTGTCAACAACTCCATCTTGCTTGGATCCACAATTAACACCTTTGGTACCAGCAGTCAGAAAATAAGGAGATGCATTGCACTAGGAAAACCTGCAGTTAGGGACCTTTACAAATTATTGAGGAGTAATGATGTCAGTTTGAGGACTAAGGTGTATCTAATTGAGGCAATAATCTTCATTCCAATTACTTGCTATGCATCTGAGAGCTGGACAGTAAATAAGGATGACAAAAGAAGAATTGATGCCTTTGAGTTGTGGTGTTGGAAACTATTGAACATCCCATGGATGGCCAAAAAAACAAACATATATCTTGGAGAGGGTGCAGCCAGAGTGCTCTTTGGAGACAAGAATGATGACACTTCACCTCACATACTTGGGGCATGTTGTAAAGGACATGCTGCTGGGAAGGGTAGAGAGTCGGCAGAGGAGAGGAAGATCCTCAGTCAGGTGGACTGACATGGTGACTGCTGCAATGGGCTCTTGTGTGTCAGGAAGTGTGAGGATGGTGCAGGACAGGACTGGGTTCAGATCTTTTGTTCATAGGGTCCTATGAGTCATGCTCAACTCGATAGCATCTAACAATAACATTCAGTCTGTATACTGAAGAAATCATTCAAGAAACTTAACTATATGAGGAAGAATGTGGCATCAGGGTTGGAAGAAGACTAACAGCATGCCTTACACAGATGGCACAATTTTGTTTACTAAAAGTTGAAAAGACATGAAACACTTGCTGCAGAAGATCAAAGACTACAACCTACAGTGTGGGTTAAACCTCGACCTAAAGAATACAAAAATTCTTGTCACTGGACCAGTAGGCAACATCATGATAAATGGAGAAAACATTGAAAGTGTCAACTATTTAATTTTACTTGGATCCATCAACACAATGGTAGCAGCAATCAAGAAATCAAAAGATTTGTGGTGGGGAAATCTTTTGTTAAGGACCTTTCTAAAGTTAGAAGAGCAAGAATGTCAATTTAAAGACAGAGATTCACCTGATCCAAGCCATGGTCTTTTTAATCAATCACTTCCTGTGCATCTGAAAATTGAACAATGAACAAAAGAAGACCAAAGAAGAATCTATGTCTTTGAACTGTGATGTTGGTGAAGAGTATTGAATATACCACAGCTGCCAAAAGAAAAAAACAAATCTATCTTGAAGGAAGTGAAACCAGAGCTCTCCTTAGGGGCAAGGATGGTAAAACTTCATCTTACTTACTTTGGGCATGTTCTCAGGAGGAACTAGCTCTTGAAAAGAAACATCATGCTGGGAAAAGTGTGGGGTCAGAGAGAGGAAGACCATCCATGAGATAGAGTGACACAGTGATTACCACAATGGGTTTGAGTATGACAAGATGTACGACAGGACAAGGTTCAGATCATTTGTTCACAGGGATCAACGGAACCTAACAACATTTTATTGTATTTCATTTTTCTCTAATAAAGATTAGAGGACTGGAAAAAAAATGTTCTCCTCCTCTCACTCACTCCCTTTGAGTCCTTTCTGGCTTAACTGACCCTCCATTGGATTTCCAAGGCTGTCTATCATAACAGGAGGAGACTGCCTATCTTTTCCCCTCAGAACCACCAGAGACTGGAGGCCTTTGTCTTAGCAGCACAACTCACAATTACACCACCAGAGCTCCCCACCTCCCATCTGGTGACTGGAAAGATATAAAAAATGTCTTCCATATTCTTCTTAGAACTCACTGTTGTTGCTGTGTGCCATTAAATCAGAAATGACTTATAGTTGATCAAATAGCATGTTTTCAGAGGCAGTAAATCACTTCAGAAGAGATTGCTCATCTTTCTCCATCAGAGCAACTGGTGGATTCAAATAGTTTACCTTTGAATTGTAGCACAATTTAGAAATTATATGACAGATTAAATTATAAAATTTTACCAAAGACAAACCCATTGGTAAAATATATATATTGTAGAAATATACCTACAACCAGGAGAAGATAAAGTAGATGAATGGGATCTTCGAAGAATCAAATCCCTATGCACATCCAAAAACTTCTCCAACAGGGTAAAAAGGGAAGCCACTGAGTGGGAAAAAGTATTTGGTAATGACGTATCAGATAAGGAACTTACATGCAGAATTTATAAAATACTTGAGCACCATAACAAGATAAAGGTAAATAATCCAATAGAAAAATGGGCACAGGATATGAACAGGCACTTCACCGAAGACGACATTCAGATGGCTAACAAGTACATGAAGACATGTTCAAAATCCCTAGCTCTAAGAGAGATGCAAATTAAAACAACCATGACAACAACAACAACATGAGATACCACCTCACCCCAGTCAGAATTGTAAAATTTAACAGAACAGCAAGCAACAAAAGCTGGCGAGGTTGTGGAGAAACTGGAACCCTTATTCCCTGTTGGCGGGAGTGTAAAATGGTGCAACCACTGTGGAAGGTGGTATGGCACTTTCTCAAAAAGCTGCAAATAGAGATACCATTTGACCCAGCAATGCCACTACTGGGAATATACCCCAAAGAGACCATAACTGACATCCAAG